CCCCAAAACCCCAAAACCCCAAAACCCCAAAACCCCAGATTTTTAATACAAGTTTGAATCAAAATGTCAAAAATAAACAGATAATAAATTCTATTGGCCAGTACTAAATGTCCTCTATTAACTTTCTGAAATCCTTCTCGATGGGGTTTGCCTGGTTTTCAGTAGTAATAGGGTTAACCTCCTCTTCCTCATCTGCCTTTGAGGCTTTCCGAGAGTTAACAAGGTTATCAACAAGATCAGATATATCATCAGAAGGAGCCTTCTGAGCACTTCTCAAATGTTTTGGAATAAACCCTATAGAGTTTTTACACATCTTTGATTTTTTAGGCTTGGAATCACTTCCTTCTTTAGAACTCATCTGGGACACATTCTCGTACTCATGATCTTCAGTGATTTTGCGTTGGATTTTGAAAATTTGATTCGATTGGAGTTTTTCATTCAGCTTTTCTGCGAAATTATTTTGAGATCTTGAGTCGCTTCTATCAGAACCTTCATCCATTCTGTAACCAATCCCTGAGAGTCCTGGAGGAGCTTGGTATTTCAAGGAATCAGCTCTTCTTTCGTAAGGATTTCTTTCATTTGTGAGATATTTAAAAGGATCCGCTTCAATCTTGCTTGGAATCTGTGCCCCAATCACCTCAGTCGAAGGTGTAGTAGACTCCATTGCTTGATGATCATATCTTGGTGAAGGATTATTAAAATTAGCAGAGTAATTTGGCCTTCCCCTCATTTCCATTGGGCTACTCATTGGCATGACATGCCCTCTGTTGTAGTGCCTATTAAAAGGATAAGCAGCATTTTCACTATAGGAATGCTGCCTTGAGGGAATCGTGTTTCCATCGAACAACTGATTGTTGTAAATTGGAGCGTTAAAGGTATCAGATGCTCATTGAGGTACTTCAAGAGAGTCTCGATGCATTTCTCTTTGTTGAACAGGCATCTGATACTGCATCTCGTTAACATTGCTAGGAACAAATTGGTGATTATTCATCTGTGGGTCCTGGTTAAAACTATAATTTGATGAATTCTCACCAAATTGGCTTGTCCTTTTGGATACACCAACAGCAACAGGCTTTGATAAAGATGGCAAAGGGTTCAGCATATAGTCAGTCCTTGCGTGCTTCCTTTGATAAACATCGACATCTGGAGACACTTCTTCAAATGGAGAAAATGGTACAAATCGATCAGCCTTTCCTTTCTGCTGTTTATTTATCTTCTTTTGCTTTGATGAATGCTTAATTTCTTCGCTAACATTAAGTTTGCAGCCATTGCTTGAAATTTTTCTACGATCTTCTTCATCGTGATAAAAGGCACATCTATCACCTCTGATACATACAACGAGTGAGTTGTGCATATCGTGGATCATTTTGTCACAATTATTGACCTTGTATTTCAAAGGATGGTACATATTCTCAAATATGGAATGTGACATATCTCAAAATGGATTATTAGGGCAGTTAGCCCCATTAACTCAGCTCTCAGGATAATACCTCATAAAATCTGGCTTCCTTCTATAATCCTTGATGTTATGAAAATATAGGCAGTCTTTGTAATTGTGCTTGATCTTTATATGCGGACACATCTCTGTCTTGAATCTGTAAATATAGAAAGACTCCTTATCTAGGCTCTCCATTAGCTCTTCTAAGTCGACATAGGAAGGTCTCATATTTAGCTGTTCATGTTTGGAGCAATTTTTATTGAAATAATCAAAGACAAACTTCATTTTCGAATTCTCAATTTCGAGGTCGAGGTCTAGCAGAGGGTCTTGGAGGTGGTACTCAGGAGTACATTTCTTGTAATTTTTGAGATCTAAAGGGTTTGGTTTATCCTTTGCTGATTCTTTGTTCAACTCTTTGAGTAGTTCAAGATCTTCCAGCGAGAAATCACCTAATGAATATGGCTGCTCTTTCAAATTTGTAGCGATGACCAGAGGTCCATAGAATAAGGTCTCTCAATGAAGTTCGAAAGGATGCGCATTAGGGTTCCTAGGAAATTTATGCCCTTCACATTTAAGTAACAAAATTTGAATAATCTGGTTTTGAGATTCTTCTGCTTTAACTTGCTTCCTGAAAACACTATAGCCAGGTGGCTCAATGGGAGAATATCCTTTGAAAACTTTGGTCCAATAGTAATAGTCTTCCGTAAAGACCTGTTTCATACTTGTCTCTCCTCCTAAAATTTGTGTTAGCAAAGTTGTAAAATTTAATAATCGTACGAACAAAAAGCTAAGAATTTAGTCAGAATGTATGAATTTATACATCCTTTCCAAGCTAGAGCTTAAAGTGCTCGTAAAAATTGAGAAATTCTTTGGGATGGAATTCCACTGCAAAATTCTCAGCTCCTTGCTTACCTTTGATCTTGATGCTGATCTCATAAGGCTCGGCATCTGGGTCCATTGGGACTACGACACATCCTAAATGGTACAGATAAGTTAAATTCTCATTGGAGATAATTTTCAGGACCAATTTCCCAGATAAAATTTAGAAAATGACTGAAGGAAGATATCAAGATAATTCAGATCGGGATTTGAATTATATAGATACTTTAGAGAATGAGCTTACTAATGACTCTTGGTAATTTTTTAGATATCTGCTGCATTTTCCCTCCTTTTTGGTCTGACAAAGAGTTTGAAGATATTCTATCCTGACCAATAGGACTTGGAGTCTTTGGGACTTCAGGATTTCTCTGAAGCTGAAGTGGGGCAGAGATCTGACAAGGACCAAGATTATTAGGCCCAGTATGATGAGAGATCTGACCATCTAGAGGATGCAAAGAGTTTTGCAAATTATTATCTCTCATATTGAGATAGGGTTGTTCTCTTCCAATCGCAGATCCATGCATCATTGGTTCCTGAGAAAATTTCTGTGTTGGGCTTGAGTTATTTATATACTGAGTTTGTGTTGAATAATTATATTGAGGAATCTCATTCTGCAGGTCACCTCAATTTTTCATTCCATGCCCTTCTAGGGTAAAATTCTGCTGCTTAAAGTTCAAATCTTGGCCTTGGAAGCCATTGTCCTGCCCATAACCTCCCCAAATGGAATCCTGAGAGAAACCAAACTGATCAAATGCAGAAGTGATGGCATCAGAGTTGAACTTATGATCTTCTTCCTTATCAAAGTTTGGGTTATCCATATTTTAATATTATTTTCGATTCATTAAAATTAATTTAAGATGGGGTTTTGGGGTTTTGGGGTTTTGGGGTTTTGGGG